CGGGATTTGCATAACAAAACGGAAAACGGGAAAAGGTCAGGAAGCGAACGAAATGGCAAGTGTCCGGTTGAAGCCAGTCAGCATTGCTGGTGATGGAAGGTATGTTTTAACGGATGAGTGTACTGGAATGAATTCACTAACTAAAATAATATTTAGGACTATCTGACAAGTTCCTTTATTTTGGACTATCTGATGAGTAAAAAACATATGTTTTTCCTAATAAAAACTACTTTAAAGGTTGCAATATAGCACTGAATAGGAAGAATAAATGAAATTCATGGCTATTGGTACCTTGCCAATAACTTGAAACAGTGTAAAGGAAGCACGGGATGTCCGGAGTCAGGCTTCGGGATGCATATTCATTACTTTGCGCCACATGCAAATCGTGATTTACACACTGTAATGAATTCTTTTGATCTGTGGATTCCATATTTGGATTTACCCCATCGATGTCAGTATTAACATGATATTTAAGTATTCATAGTTTTTCTGATGAAACGTCTGATTGTTGAATATAAATATAGAATTAAAATCATTGTTACATAAACAAAATAATGTTTTGCAAATTTAAGTGTAGTAGATTAATTTAAATCATTTTATAAATGACCTAAGTTTTTTAGTTAAAAAAGATTTTATTAGTTATTTTATGACTGAAAAATGAAATGTCACAATCGTAAAAATAAGTTGCATTTAAATATTGTATGTTATATGCCATTAGTGTTGGTACATTGTACACATATAATGTAATAAATACGTACAGAAAATAAACCAAGATATAACAAATTACAACTACAATGTTGCTGTAAATATCCATACTAATATAACAATCACAGGTCGATTGAAAAAAGTCCACTTAAAATTACATAATTACTTTAGCGATACAACTGTTCGAAAGAAACGCAGAAATGACAAGACGATGACAAATGAGCGGAGCCCGCATCCGACGCAGTCGGGTGGCGGACCTCATCAAATTATTCCCCACTTAAAAAATCTCCGTAAACAAAAACGTAGCATGAAAAAAAAGATCCAAGTCGCGGGGTAAAAAATAGGTATTGGCAACATTGATTGATGCGTACTAATAGGGCGCGAAGGAATGATGCCGCTACGTAATTAAAGGAAAAGTGACATCTTCTGTCATTGACAATGTGACCAACTTCTAGAAATAGAGCGGTCACGCCTTTTGGGGAGGAAGTGATTAGTACTGTAAAGTTATTAAAAATTACTGAGTGAAGGCAGCTAATTGATTGCCAGCTTGCCTGTCTCGTCACACTTCGTTAGCTATGTGACTTATTTTCTATTCCACAGTTGCTAACTTAATTTATATGTTCTCTATGTACCTGTCATAATAATAAAATGATAGTTGCAATTCTTATAATAGAAACTCATTATCGCTTATAAATAATTTAAAGGTCATGAAATAATCTCCACTAATTACAGTACGAGTTTTTTGTTAACAATATACTAAAAATATAACAACCTATTTGCAAATCCATTTTCAAAGTGACACCCGAATAATGAAGGGAACAATAAATCTTTTTCACTCCGAACGCGCTACCGCATAAAATTTAATCCTAATTTTGAATTAGCATTCCGAGGTTTTGATACGACGTGTTTTATTTAGAAAAAGCAATGTAGTATGACGATGTTTCTAAATTACTCCAGAAGAATGACTTTCCATTATTATAAAATATTGTAACATCAGCGAGTTAAGGCAGAATCGATAAAGAAAGTTGATACCTACGAGGTTTTTATAAAGCATCCCTTATCGCTGTGTACATATCATTAGTAATGCAAAATAATGGGATACGGACACCTCGTGCTGTTTGCGAGCTAATGATTAATGCTGTTCGCCATTAATTCTTATTTTTGATGAGAAATTTGACTTGTGCTGTCAGGCGCCGGATCCAGATTAATATTGGCTGACGGTGCAACTAACAACAATGTTTGAAACTCGCAGATAATGAAATATGAACGGTGTCTTTGTGTTCCTTGAGATATCTCTGAGACATGTTAAAAGTGCTTGTAATATTTAAATACAACAAAAAAACAGCTTTCTGATAAAATATTAAATTATATAAATACATATGTAAGTTGAAATTCATAAATTGTAAGAGTGATTGCTAATAAAACTAAATTCCAGGTGAACATCAAGCAAATACGATAAATAGTTCGGTTCACCGTAGGAACTATCCAAATAGTTTGAACCATAAAAGGGCAAAGCACAAAGAGCTACATAAAATGCCAGTATGACCACATCGGTGACAAACACGGGAGGTATTCAGGGTTGTCCGTGACTCGGCCCTTTATGAAAACACCCTACGCATATTAGCTGACTGAAAATCAAAAGTCGTTATTATTAATGACTTGCGTGACAATATAAATATCTCTGCGTAACACTAAACGCGAGAAAATAATCTCAAATAGAAGACTGACGTAAATGTACAGTCACCAGATGCTATCTTGGATATCATCCTTCAAATGGTAGGAAACATTATTGAAGATTCGGAGCATTCAGCATCTTTATCTTTCGAATATAAGAGTTCATTTTATGACCATTAATTTTGTCTTTTCCTTGGGTGTTTTATCACAACGACGAAGCTCTGTCGCTAGTCTCATTAATCAAAAGCATTTGTTTACAACGAAGGGAATTTGATTTGATTAAAATAATTCGCAATATCCTTGATAAATATCACCCTCGGTCTTCGTTTGATCTTCGTTGAAATTAATGGTGGAGGATTCAATCACGCAAATGTTACCAATGAGATTCTTGACGTCTCCTAAAGACACTCTAGTAAAGCATAATTTATATAAACATGAATTCATTTGCTGTGACTACAATAACAACACGTAAACATATTTTTGCAAATAGGTTCAGAAGCTGATATGAATAAGACGTAAAAGGATATATCATATAGTAATTAAATGATTTTTAAAATTGTGGAATGAAGGGTGACCAAACTGAGCTATCTTTCCGGCACAAGGGTCCAATGAGTAACGAGAGCCGTCACTGCGATGTGTGCATCGTGTGCCCTCCCGGCTTAACCCGCCGTACGCCGATTAATCGCAGCTAATTCGATCCGAAACGGAATTAAACCGGACGAATGCATAGATCCCAACGATTTGTTGACTGTTAATTGAGTCACCGTTTGATTTACAGCGGATTCCGCAACGCTACGGATTGGGTTTTTGTTACCATTGAGATACAAACTGGGGTTGAAAACCAACAAAAATAAAAAGAAGCAAAATAAGTGTATCGAAAAATATTACCCTATTTCAACTCTCACTTAAAAAACTTCATTTTATTACTTTACTGCTTCTTAAATAATCACAATTCATTAATATTATTTGTTCATAAACGAGATACTTATTCTTTTATAATTCTCAAAACAATTTATAAATACTTCAATAACCCTTCAATGTTAAAGCAAAATCAAAATAATCGTTATAAAAGCGTCTAATAAGCACGCTCGAGTGCACTTGGAAGATGCAAAACAAACAGTACCTACAAATTATATTAAATCAGAGATAATCTTGTCAATTAATTGGACTTAGGATCGAGAACCGGTCGGCGCCTGCGCCAAGCGAGCGGAGGAACGAACCAACTTGGTATTATTAAACAGTGTTGCTTGTTATAAATGTCAATATCGGAATGATACGATGTTAACATCGGCAATCAATTTATATTCACGTTTCAATTATTCGAAATCTTTTAATCTTAAATGCTAAATCGTTATCATTTTCTGATTTAACTATTAAATATAATTTTTAGAGCAAGAAATTCACTTATACTTATGAATGGAAACGAAATTATCTTTATAAGAAAGAAAAAGATATTAATTCTTGTATAATAAATATAACATATTGTTTTAGTCATCTTGTTACCGCGAAATAACAGCCCGTACTTTGAATCCATACAAACATAAAATGTGTTGCTATTACCTTCATTATACTAGAATTTAGCAGATACTAATATTTTTTATTTAATATTAACATCTTCATAATTGAAAAAAAAGCATCTTTAAGAACATTTAAATTTATATTTTAATGAATGATTTTACATGTTTCGTAAAGCGTAAATCAAAATAGTATATATAGATTTTACGCCAAAAATACATTGTAATTTCTTTAAAACAGCCTTAATCCTATACCCGTGGCGGCGATCTGACAGTGACACATCGGTACAAGGCTGGCTGTCCGACTGTAATTCTACCCAACTCGCATGGATACGTTTATTTTCAAATCTGGAGGATTAATTGAAAAAAAAAACGAAATTAATTTAATTGGACACCCCAAAAGTTTAAAACGCTATCTTTAATAAGCGCTTGTTAATTTGGGATTATGATATCAAAATATTTATTAACCCATATATGTATTTATAAGGTTACAAAACGTAAAAATATATAAACGAATGATAACTATTATAATCCGAAGTTAAATATATTTTGTATAATAATATTTTATATTCGAAATATAATAAAAAACAAAAATGACGTAACTGTTTTTCATTTCAATAGAACCTAAATCGAAAGTGGTATCGAAACACTCAATCGCGGCTCTTCGAAATGAAGTCAAAACCGCGAGTTTCATTCGATCCCGCCGATCAATCACCATCCATTAAACAAGAAAAGAAAAGCGTTTCCCCTAACCATTGGCCCTCGAATTGGCCCAATTTACATGAGAGCCGCATTTTCCTCGCATCGAGATTAGCTCAGAATGAGTTTGATGAATTGTTCGCACCCCGAGCCGACGCCAACCGACCGGTCATTTGTTAAAAATACACCCGATCCAGCGATCTAATTGTGTCCTCTAATTTCACACTCCCCTGATATCTAGGCGTTTAAATTAAAAATGCTTTTATTTGTATCTCCCTTGCTCGTCCTTCGGCAATGATGAAGTGAAAAATTAAAGTAAGAGTTTCAATGTAAAACAAACTAAATAAAAAGAACTTAAAAAAAATCGTTGATGAAACACATTATCCTTTGATCACACAATAATCTTACCTTTCTAGATGTTTTACGATGTCTTCGTAAGCTGCTCTACAATTCTCCCAAATACCAGATCTGTCGACAAAGAATAAAAGAAAAATGAGAAAAGAATACGGAAAATGGGATATTAAAATTAGAAAATAAGGCCAATAAAGATGAAAAATGATGGTTAGATGGCTACGCGAAGGTATAAATTGAAAATTATTTTTTCACAAAGACCTTCCCTTTACCAATTTAAAATCTACAAGAAGACAAAACTTGCAACAAAGTGCTCTCGAGTATTTAAAAATTAAAGTTTGCAAATAAAAAAAAGGGTTTGAATGTAAAAGGAATAATTATGAGCACTCAATATTAAATGTTCCGTTAGACTGAGCGAGGGGTCGAAGAAATTAATTATGTTTTTTAAAACAATCGCTTATATTTGTGTCGTAACAAGTGATGCATGATCGTCGAAATTGTTTCTCAATTACTTTAACACTTTGTTTTCATTAAACTTTTCTTGAAGGGAATGCTTCTTACAATAGTTAGAGAGTTCTGTAAGGGTTCATTCATTCCAGTCTGATACTCGAGCATACTTCCGTGTCCCTTCGTAAGATCCTTTTCGATACTTAAGTATGCTTCACCCGTTGTAATATTTTTAAACATTGTTATATTAACTGTATGGTTACTTATTAAAACGCCTAAGAAAATAGAAGCATTTAAGATGAATTTGCTCTAAGTTGTAACATTAAACTTATATGAGGTGAGGTGTAAGTATATCAGTAACTTATGTGGGTTATTGTAGCTGTCTGAATCAGACGACAGTAAGACAGTGGGGTAAGTCAAGTGAAGTGAACGCTGCGGGTCTTCGGGCGGAAGCGAGGGCAGTCAGTGTTTGTACTTTTCTTATTGGATTAACTCAGACATTTAACCTGTATCACTTGTGACCCGCTTACAGGCTTCCTTTTCATTAGCGTATGTTTAAGCTCATTATGTGTTAATTGGGTAAAATTGTTTCACAGCCTTAATGTTTTAATAATTTATTTTCATATAAAATTAATCTGTTTGAACTTAATATATAATTTTAATTCTTCAAACACAATACAATATCTAACAAGAACAAACTAAAAAGTCACTAGAAGTTATTAAAAAGCATCTCATAAACAATTTAGGTTATTAAAACACAAATAAACATCGAGCGTCTGTCTTTACTAATCAATAAAACAAAAATAGATGTACCTTTCGCCTCTATGATTTACGGCAAATAGTTCTATACAATAACGATGGATAAAATACATAACAGTGAATTAATTTAGGCTCATGCCGTGTTTGGGAAGCCACAGTTTTACGTAACCAGTATCCGCTGTAAGCTCGCTTATGTTTATTTGTTCATTGACGTACGTATATACGTAACGTAAAATCTATTAATTAATATTTATTACGTAAGTTGCATGTGGAGAATTTAATTCTGGAAACCGTTCAGTTGTTAATTTGTGCCACTCCGTATGTACGAGTATGTACTCCGCAAATGTCCTACAGTTGTATAATATATGTCAATCTTTATAAAATTTAGGTTAAATGTAATAAGAAATATTCAAGACACGTGACGTGATAAAGGCATACATTAACGTATTGAACAATATTAATGAGAGCTTAAATCTTTCTATGGATTCTCGTTGAGTGTATAATATATAATACTTACCCAGGATATGTCTTAACCTTATTAGTTTTAGGAATTATTTGATAAAATAATAATTTGATTCCATTTAGATTTTTTTTCTAATTCAAAATATAAAGATAAATATATATTATTTGCTTTCAGAAAATCTCAAGACGTCTCAAGGTGCAAGTTAACATAATTTATTAAACTATATTTGTCATTATTTTCAGCTTTAACACTTATTTTTCAAGCACTTTGGTTATGTATACGTTACTTTGATCCAAATTACCTTCTACTTATTCTATAATAAATACATTAATTTATTATCCACAGGTTAAACAATGGATTCATCCCCTCTGAAAAAACTAGGAGTATTAATAAAATATGCTGCAGCTTATTTTAATTTCCGCGCACAAGTTATTGTTTATGAAAATAAACCAAAACTAGGACTCACCTCGCCAGTGCCTCCATGTTATGCATCGGCTGGCCTTTGATGATGGATCCGTCAGGTCGAGGTACTCCGTGGTGCATGCTGGGGGACATGAGTGCGTGCTGATGCATGAAGCCCATGGGTCCCAGGTGCGTGGGGGGCGCGTTGTACCCATTAGCGAGCAGGGGGGACTTGTCCATACGAGCCATATCTAGAACAACAATTGTTATAAGTATCGTGCTTTTCGCTTAATCCACATTTATATTCCTATTGCATAAAAATTCTACTTAAAATTGCCAGTAATATTTTGGACACAAAAATTCATATAAGAAAAATTTAAAATAATTATAAATGACATGAAAAAAAGTAAAGGACTAACAAAATATTTGATGACGGAATAAAATTTATGATTTCAATTCTCGTTTCCTTGATATAAATAGCGCAGCACTTAAATATAATCACGTACCTACTCAGGTAAAATCCAATTAATACCCGGTATTATCATTTAATTACTCGTTCCAATAATCGAATCGCCCGTAAAATGGTGTATCAACAATAATAAAATGAGCAATGAATTTCGAGACCATTGTTTTCTGGGCACCACAAACAACCTGTGTAAACATGAGGGAAGGAGGGGGGGGGAGTCGACAAATATTCTTAAAATGACTCCCTATGGGGGGTTTTGGTCTTTGTCCACCCCCGGTCACCAAACGGACCGGGGTGTTGGAAACAATTAACAAGGTGTCGAATTAAACACGAATTAACGTTTAAATCGTTAAGGAAAATACCCTTTCCCATTGTACTCTCTACAAAGGATTTTAGGATTGCTGAGTATTTAATATGTTTTACTTTGTTACCCGATTAGGGTCCAGGTATATTTGGTGGCGGTACAAAAAGTGTACGATTACAAGTCGCCATGGTCACAATTGATGTTTTACTTAATTATTACAGAACAAAAGTACGTTTAATACTCTTCAATTGATATAAATCAAATAAATATAAAACGTGGCTACCTAAAAAACCTTATTATTATTTATTTTCATTAAAAATGTATAATATTCGTCTGGATATAAATAAATTTGTCTAGTGGAAAAATTAAAGGTTCTGCCATACTAAATAAGTATTATTGGTTCTATAACAATAATTTCTAAACTTACGAACTTGATTATACGCTACACCATACTCAAAGTAACAATATTAGTAAATATATTACTACAATTATTTTATATCATATCATAATTATTTATAAAATCTACTAAAGTGATATTTATACAATTATTTTAAGCGATATAATTCAAAATACAAAGCTACTCTTATTATTTTTATTTACATTACTTTTTTTTTATAAATTATTTTAAATTTCTATAGATATTATATTATGATTTAAAAAATACAATAATATATTGACATATGTATATATGTTAGTATATTATTGTATATACAGAATTTACTTTAAATATACTGATAACACGATTATAAAGTCATTTTTTCAAATAAATCTTGGTTTGTTTGTGATACTATAATTGTGTATTTGTTTTCACAGTTTGGGCAAGCGTAAGGTACTATATAAGTCAGGTTAATATAAAATTTCATTAAATCACTCAAACATGTATCCACTTTTAAGGATAACACAAAGTTAACAAACAACCATCATGACCAATGGGCCCTGAATTAATTGCTGGGGTGTATTTACTTAGTTAACCGGCTCGGTTATCTTCAGAACCATGAGCCGAATTTAATGTATTTGTTGTTACCTCACAGTTTTATAGTTGTTCGATAAACATTACATTTAAATGAATTAATAAAGCGTGTAGATTCGAAAACATAAATTAATGTAAACATTCATTTAAAATTATTGAATAGTCGAATTAATTGGGATATATTTAAATGAGATTATGGATCAATGTTATGATAAAACTTGTTTTTGTTTATTTTAAATATTAATTCATTTAAGAAAATACCTAAAAATTATTCTGTTAATTATTAATGACGAAGCTTCACTTATAATTATTATCTGAATACTCTAACCGCAACTGGGATACTTGACCAAAAATCATATTTACATTGCCCCATTCGTACAAAGAACCCGACCGCACCGGTCAACCGCACTTACTAATTACCTAAATACGTGTTAAATCTCGTAATAACCTGCGGTTTCAACAACCCTTCTTCGCTGTCTCATTTACACTTATTCCTTTTATATTATTCGTCCTTTTTGATTTAAACCAAAGCTATTATATATTTTTTTTAATTATAGAAACAATTGTTTAACTTAATTTTTATAACAAGAATTTAATCTTCAAAAAAACAAAACGATCGATCAAAACATTCCATAACAAAGCACCATTATCATCTTTTATACGTATTATTAAGCGAATCCACTGATAAGCCATTTAAAGAAATGAAACGTCAAACTTGAACAGCCATTATAACGAAATCCATCGATTTATTGATCGGATATCGACTGTCCTCGACAAATGATCGCAGGAAATTATGGGCTATTATTTAGAATTAGAATCGATAGAATCAAAACCCCAATTATATCACTTATGTGTTTAAAGAAGGCTGGGATAGAGGCAATCATAATCGCAAACTTTGAAACTTTTTTATATGTTCCGATCGTTAAATAATTACAATTTATAGTTAGTATATTTATTTACTTTTTGAGCTGAATAAAAGAATTTGACGCTTCCAATCTGATATAATAAAGTGTACAATTTAAAAGATAATTTATTTAACAAGCCATAAGCAAAAAATATATAATAACCATTGAGTTTTATTACAGACAGATTACAAAATGACCAAACGGGCGAGTTATAAGTGATTGACCATAAAGTGAAAAGAAAGAAGCACAACAATGTAGCAAATACATACATGTTATCACTTTAAATTTTACTAGCATTTTTCGTAGGAAATATTAATTTATTACACATATTAAATAATACGTTGTTTATAAAGTCTAAATCAATAAAAGCATAATATACTAATAATATTAAATCGTATGAATAAAAAATATAAAATTGTTGTATTAATATTTTTTCATCAAAGTATTTACATATTATGTTATGTTATAAATACAAGTGTCTCATAAATATCCTAGGTTTTACAACTCAGTGGTTAAAATGGAAACTTAACATTATGGTAATGGCCCGTAAATCACACCAAAGGAATAAATTATTGATTACATTAAGGTTCGAGAAATAAATACAGAGGTTGTAAAAGTACAAAGTATGCGAATAAATGACGTGCACTCGAATCATAGACAATGTTAGGTGAAACTATTAGGTGTATATTTTGTTACACTATTTACATAGCATATATCTTTGTAGTTTATCAACGTGATAATTCAAGAATGTTAAAATACAATCAAAGGTCGAGGGAAGCAACTGTTAAAATTTATATGCATAAAAATTTAAACCTCCACTATGAACAGCCAGTTCTACAGCCATTGGCAAAATAAAGAAATCCGAAATGATACAAAACAAGGCGAATTAAAAGAAAATTACAGTCAGCCGGCAATCGTAGCGTTTACAATAAACACATAATTGTACGGTCAGTATACAAATGGCATATACGATTGGGCGAAATAATTGTCTGCAATTTGAAGAATAAATCGCAGCTTGTCGCTTGCATGCGCGCCTTAATAAAAATATATATTTTAAAACGATGACTACCGATGCGATGCGATCATTGAACAAAAATGAACGACCCGTTTCGATCATCGTAAAATGATATGGGCTCAATAAAAACTATTAATATAAATGAAAGTCAACTTCAAATTACTTTAATAAGTAAAAGCAGCGTTCAATACCGAATATGATATTGGAATTATTACAATTTTTTTGCCGCGTATACTACGAACTGTAATAAAACGTAATAAAAACAAATAAAATGAAGACTGAAAATGTTTGCATTAAGTATACAATCTGAAATTATTCCATCAATTAAGTTAATCAAACATTGCCGCTACTTGATTATACAAGCGTATAAAAAGATGAATTTCTTATTACATTTGTACACTCGATTGTCCATAATGTTGTACAAAGCTATGACCATATTAGAGATTGGGTATAATCGTCAACACAAGTCACGTGCGAAGTACAATCAATAACAGTAATACACAATCGCTACAGAAACGGACGGTCAATATCTTGAGTCAACAAGATGAATCAGACTGTGTTGCCAAACTTAAATTATTTCATATTAATATAAAAAATTAAAACATATATTTCTTTAACAATTAACTACATAATTATAAGAACTGGAATGAGTTAGACATAGACGTGGAGCAATTAAATTTTCTCTTACATTCTAATTAATCACAAATATGTATATACATTAGTCTGTAATCACTGAAGCTTGTAATGAATGTTCCTACATATCTTTCATGTATCATTCTAACGAGACAAATATCGCACGAGACAAAAAGATACCCGCAATTTCTATAAAAACCGGGAGAACTCCCTCTAGTTGCAACACCGACAGACCTATGTGCTAGCCATAAACTCTTTCATTTGGCTCGGACGAGTCTTATGAACAATAAAACGTCGAGGGCTGGAGATTTGGTCTGTAATAAAATATTTGCCCTGGTACACGCTAATCCGCGTCCCTTACTTACGAACGCAATTTGAGATGTTATAGCCGACGTCTAGTTATACCTATCTACGTGATTAAGGTACTTTAAAACTTAAGTTTCTTTTGCTATGAAATCATAACTTCTAGGTGGGTAGTAATTTTGGAAACATAATAAAATTAAAGATATTAGCTATATTAAGAATAATTCCATATAAATTCCTACAATCACAAGCAATAGTAATAAAACAGCTCGTGACGAACTTGAAATATAATAACAAATTATATGTAAGCGTATCTTCATTAAGAAGACATGTTTATACATCCATTTAACGGTGCTAATACCAATCATATAGAAGTTTATCGCATTCGGAACCATTTCTACGAGCGAAATAAAACTCCCTCTGATGTGTGAAAGAGGGTCAAAGTTAATTACTCGTAAATAGACCGGGGTACAGTTTTATCTGAGATATATACATATATATATAGCGGGATTACTATGTGCCATAACCGTTATTATACTAGAGACTTGCTGTTGAAAGATTCTAAGTTTTATGTTATACTATCATCTCCCTGTGGCTTTGCTTTGGATTTTATTATTGCGCTATGATAATCCAAGACATAATTATATATAAAAGTTTTAATCTGGTTATTACTGAAAATCATATAACATGTACATTTGGGGAAATATGACAATCTATGATGTTCTTACGTGGTTTTCCAATAAGACGCATTGTATTAGAGAGGTCAAATGTCAAGAGTACCTAATACTCTAGGCATGTAGGCTTAGACCGTACTACTTGTTAATTCTAGTACAGAAGCCATATCAGTGCTATTTTCATAGTAATTACATTTCATACTTTTGTTCTTACTCTGTTCTTATTATATTTCTATTATAAAAATACTAATATACTCTATTCACTTGAACTCTGAAAATCCATATTTTTGTAAATTAAATTACTAAAAAGCAATTTTATTCTCTGATAGAATAAATAACAAAATATTTTTAATGAATCGAATCAAACATATCGTTATTATAATTACAATAAAACATACTCTTTACAAATCGTATCCACCTAAAGCTCATCAAAAATAACTCATCCGTAAGTTGTATGAATGGAGGCAGGCCATTGTTACATAATAACTATCAAAGATACAAAATCGTGGCATATTTTTATTAATATTACACAAAAGACGGATTATGTATGAACAGCCAATGCCAGCTGCAACTACTGAACGGAATGATATTCCTTACACTACATATTTGTATTCTAACGTTGTATAATGATGAAATTGATAGATACTTTTAAATAATTCAAATCATTCATAGGAATTAAGATATTTTTAAAAAGAAATGTCTGTAAAACAACGATGTAAAAATAAGAAACGATTATTGAACATACGTATGTATATATTGAAGAAAAAGTAATGTGAATTTTTAATGATTTCATCAAGCAACCAAGCCAATACAATAATTACAAGAACTGCTAAATAGAATGCTTGAAGCATCTTAAAACTAAATGTTAGTTTTTCATTTACAATCGTATGTAACTTTTCAATGGAAACTTTTAAAAATAAAGGCTTATTAAAGTCTGTACGCAATAAAAATATATTTGAAAATAATTCCAATCTATTATAAAACAACGAGTAATATTAAACCAAGGACGTGGAAGCGGTAATAAGTTAGTTGACACTAGACATTTTATATACAAAATCCTTTATGCTAAATCGAATCTAAATAAAAAATAATTGACAAATATCTTTGAGTCAATAACTTCGTGACGGGCGGTTACTCTGATGAATTAATACAGTGTTATTAAAGTCGCTGAACTGAGTTACGACACAACCTATAATTTTGTTATAACTCGATCGATAAGTTTTGGTAATTCTGCCACGTACGAAGACAACTGTTTTATTTTATTGCACCCACCGTAAAGAAATGTATTCTGTCTGATAAAAAAATATTATAAAATGTGAGGATTTGCTTCTTTATTACTCTAAAAGGCAATGACTATTGATCGGAATCTTTTGAAACTTTTTCAGTGTATCTTACAAATAAAGAAAGATAATATCTGCATACATAATTTCTCGCCACAACTTATTTAATTGACTGTAAAGACGAGAAGTTAACTGTATGAAAAATATAACAATATTTAGACCTTTAAAGAGCACCGATTAAGAATTTTAAAGAAATGACCACTGCCGACTATCAAAATACGCCGGTATTGCTAATTAAAAGAAATTCCATCGTTATGCTTTTACTCAAGCAAAAAACGAAATGAATGCGCCATGATGACTGCGAGGTGTGAGTAATGTCGTAAGTGGAAGCAAAACAGCATTTTAATTGTAAACCTCGTTCCACACGACAAACAAAACGATGGGAATTAAATAGTTTATTGCTAATGTTGGTATGGAAATACAACGCTGACGATGCTAATGACGGACAAGAAATTTTTATTGCTCGTTGCAAACTAAATAAAAACATATTCTTCTTCACATCGCAGCAGACAAAAGAAGTTACTAATAACTACATTCGTTTCATAGTTACAGTTGCTCAAGCTATATATTATAGATCGGCTTATTTAATTCATAGCAACAATGAATTAACATTTTTGCTCTGATAAAATTTATAATAGTACTATATAAATGCTACTACAATTCTTTTGCTTTTGCATACTATATGTATGTGACCCGTTATATCTATATTACTTATTTGTATCCATCAAAACATTTGTATATTGAGATGACTTGCATATTCGGATCGTAAGTACAAACGTTTGGAATGCGTACAGAGTGTCCTATAGAGGGAGTCCTTCCCTTTATGATATTCACTAAAATATTGGGTCACATTCCATTCACATCAATGTATGTTTTAAATTATTTATCTTTATACATAGTTATACAAAGGACAAATATTTCAATACATCTATTATTTCATTTACATCGCTTGTTGCTTTAATTGGTAAATTAAAACTCCGGTTAAAGCAATACATGATTTAAATTTACAAGTAAACAAATCTGTTATCAATTATTTAGCAATGTGATCTAAAAATTCAAATCGATTGCTGTAACTGTATTCGTTCATAACAGTTGCTAATGGCATATTATTACCGTTGCTAGTATTTATCTCTGCTATGAACGTGGAAATAACAAGTGACCAGTTGGCCATCGTAACACTTCTACAGTTACGCCTCACTTCGGCGTTTAATTGTATCAGTTATATTTCCTTGTAGTTCTGTAATTTGTTTTATTATCATCAATTACATATGCAAGTCGTATATACGATTCCGACAATGTTTATGCATCGATTTGTTTAAAAAACAACTAATTGTCGACTTTCAAAACGCTGAATGCAGAACCCGTTTGTTTTTATGGGATCCGATAAATGTTGTATTGCGTGTTGTAATTGTGTTCAAGTTTTTATTTGATCACTTACATAGATATTAGTACATAGATGTAATGCATGAAATTATCAATTTGCGTAAAATAAGCGAAGCTAATAATATGATGGACGGCTGTAGAAAAAAAATTGGAAACTAACAAGTAAGTATGTTGTTATAATTAAATTTTTTTTTTAACGTTGCATGACAGACATGTTTCAACATTGAATTTGAAACAATTTTCTAAATAATTAAATAAAACGGCACATACTCGTAAGCCAGTTAATTAAACCGTGCACCAATATAACGAGTAAATAAACATTACGATGTAACATTATCTGTAACATTTGAACAATCGCTACGAAATCGGTAACAAAGGCGTGAACACAAGACTCGCAAATTGACTGATCCATCATATCCCTCTCCCTTAACATAAACAGGCAAATCCTTACTTAATTTCAGTCGCAGAATTCAATCAGAATGTAAAGCTTTATACCCCTACTCGTAATGTTATAATGCCTCACATTATCCCCCCGTTTATATGTCGAATCGCGGCGACATCCCACGAAACCTTTAATTATTATCAACACATAATTTTCATGCCAGTATCAGATATTATAGGGTTACCTCTGAAAAACAAAATACTGGCGACAATTAACTCATTTGGGCGTACCTACATATTTTTATAACCAAAGACAACGAAAAACCATTTTAATTGTAACATTGAAATTGTTAAAATTACAATAATAAGTGACGTAACTGTCGAAAATTATATTAAAAAAAATATGTCATACAATAATAATTTTTTAATTTTAACATAAACGAGATAAAATAGGCATCGAATTTGATTTATCATTAAGAGATAAACATCAACCCTTTCAAGGCACACGTGGGCCGACACGTCCCTTCAACGCATTTCATATTCCTACTTCCATTCCGTTCAACCTTCCGAGGAGGATTATATTCTCCGATGTTTTCATATCCTATTATTTCACGGGGTGAAAATGGGCCACCCGCCACCTCACTCAAACATTGACAGTCGTATGCGAATGTACATATTCAGAATTATATCAGTGTGTGCGTTTGCCCCAAGAAAATGTATTAATGTGTGAGTTTGTTTCATCAACTTTAAACCACTGTCAACGACTCGTCAAAATAATATTGGCTTAACATAATGGGACCGTTCCACTGAGAATGAAAAGCATTACCTACTTACACATGAATTTAATTTTGGAAAATGATTGAGTCATAATTATATATCATAATAGAATATTCTGTGGTTTTAATATGAGTATAACAAAGGTCATAATATAAGTCGGTAACGAGCTGGCATCAGCAATACAATGGCAACGATAGAATCCACTTCAGGCTGTTTCGAATTGCAAATTTAAGGTAAAAAAAGCGAACAAACTGCACTTAAAGTCAAATGCGGCAGTGCGCGATAAGCAAGTGTCGCTTATGCAAGATCACGAATGTAATTGCTCCCTTGTCTGGCACGACACTTTAAGCTAAAACGGGAAAGAGCATCCAGAACATATAGGCATGAACGGGATAAAAAACAAAATAATCAAGAACGGCCTAAGCGACAAAAATGATTGATTACCAGCCGTCTTGCGCTGAGCTCTATTTAATCACTTTATTCCCTTTTCTCCGTTTGCGTTGGGATAATTTTGTGTTTGTGTAATTTGTATACGAAATGAGAAAGCATACCCGAGAAGCGTTTCATATCCGGAGTGAGGAGTATCCGGGAACAGATACCCGAGGTCGTGTTATCTAAGATATGATACGATTTGATGCAAATTAAAAGAACGCTTATTTAGATGTACAAATATAGTCTTGTATCAAAATATATGTACTTACATTGTTTCTCACGAAAAGTATTTGAACTTAATGAACATTTTTTAAATCACGAAATTTTTAATAAATTTGATTGAAGAAAAATTTAAGATATTATACTGACAACTTTAGCCATTGAATAGGGTATTTAAGGGTTATCAAAATAAAGGAGCTTTACCTTTTGGTCAACGAGATGACATTGTATTACATATCAAATAAACCTCACACGTAAAATGATTCCTTCACTGTACATACATAAACGAATGAAAGTCAAACATCACACACATATTGATCTAACCGGGAATCGAACCCGCGAACTTTGACACAAATACGAACATTTAAACAAACGGAATAAATACTTACCACTCATATGTCCGTTTTCGTATGGGGAGTAATCTCCGTTCTCAAGGCGATGCTTCTTGAAGGGGTGTCCAGGGAATTGGGTGGCGGCTAGCGACAGGCCCACACCCGAGGCACGCTTCGGAGGTCGCCCCGGTCTAGAGCTGCGGACATGTAGCACGTTACTGCCGTTTAGGACTGTACACTTACATTATATTATGTATAAACATGTGTTCATGAAACAGCGATATCTCTTGGCACATGTATACAGGATGTTTCGAAAGCTAAAAGTTATTTAGGCTATTTAATCACTCATTCTTAGTCAAATTGTGAATTTGTTTATTCCGATATCTAACCATGCAGCCGATATTTATGAAATTTTGCACATGTTAAATTATAAGTATGAACTAAAGATGCGTGTACCATATAGACAAATAATATTTATATGTTCTAATGTGAACCCAAGGCTAACAGTATATATTTTCATTATTTGAGTAATAAATAGTTTTAAAAGAATATAAGTTAATAGCATTACTAATATATATGTATATGTAAAATTTACTGAATGACAAATAGGGAGAATGAAATGTCCAGAATAAAGGTTGTATTTTTATGCTATGATAATTATCATGATTCAAAACCCAAACGATTTTGATTTGGAAGCTTGGAAAGTTAAAATTCATAAAGAAAATCAACAAAACATCATCATATATAACAACTGTAAGCTCATCTTTAAAGATTTCTTCCTTTATAGAATTATTTCTAACAGTATAAATAAAACAGAAAGTTCAAAAGTTTATTAAATTTAGAAAATGTTTTACCAAATTACTTTAATCACTATTTCTAACTGGCGATAAAGTCTACTCTACAACTTTACACCTGATGTCAAACTAAGATCAAATGTTAGCAGTCATAAAAAAAACATTAATATTTAAATATTTGCCGAAATTTCCAAATTAAAGTTACTTATAAATGTATAGACTGCTGCAACGGATTTTGTACTACTTTTTTAAATATTTAATACAACAAAGTGAGCTTATATAAAAGTAAATTGATTTAGCACCTTAAAGAAACAATCATAACAATGACACAATGACAGCGCAAATAAAATCCTATTTCAAGTAAAAATATGCAAAATAGTTTTTGTTGACAATGATTTTTTTTATGAAAAACTCCAGAAGTTTAAATAAAGTGTTAAGTTAGTAAATGTTCAGTTCTGTTTAAAACTTGATAGTACAGATAATATCTTTTAATAATAAGTTTCATATTTTTTGTCTTATACTGGTTAATATTTAAAATAAACTTTTTCCATTGCTCAAATATATACGTATACTTAGGTACGAGAGTCATAAAATGACTTGCAAAATTTTCAAAATTTTCTTCTAACTGTCAAAATTTTCTTCTAACTGTTTTACTTTAAACACTATTACACCATCTTTGAAAGAAAGAAACCAGTGCATTATGGTTAAATTTTAACCAAAACTGTAATGGACCAGTAACCAAAGAAGCAGAAATTAGGAAAAAAAACGTAATAAGTAACCAATTAATAACAATTAAAACATCGTATCTGTATCTTGCACAAGTTTCTTTAAGGGAATCATACAATAAATCATGTTCTCGCGAGGGTAGATCCAGATTTATTTTTATTTATTTCACTCCCCTAAGATTTAATGCTAGACATCGTCCTCAGTTTCCACAATTTCACGCTTATTGTTTTCCCATCCGTGATTTATGTTCAAGTAATAGCAGACAGTATATTCCTGGCCGCAATAAACTTTGTCACCTAAATCTTTGTACTTAAGCCGATTACCTTTCTTAACAACACGTATAAGGCGTACATTCATTATGTTTTTGGATATTTATTTGAGATAACCTAAATTCATTTGTATTTCATTCAACATTTATTAAGTCTATAATGAACTTATATTAATTTACTTTCATTTATAGAGGCACTATACAATAATCCTAATAAAATTAATAGGATTGAATTTGTAGATGAATCGAAAGGCTTAGAATAAATATACGACCCAAGGACTTTTTTCCGATTGACCATAAAGCATTACAATTAAAGCTTATACACTACAGCAAGCACATCACAAGTTCAGCAATTATCGAGGGAGCGATGCTGTTATCATAGTATCAGCTTACGCAGAAACCGACTCGCCTATTTATTTTTATGTCAGCAACCGTCATTATGAGACACTCCATTAGCTTGTGGTATCTCGTTTTTGGTAGGGCATTCCGTAATATGACGATTCTGTGAACGTTTGATGGAGGATTTGTTGAAAATTGATGTATCAGATCACAACACGATATGAATTTATATTTATAAACCAGTTGTAATTAAAAAAACTAAAACAATTTATTGAGTATAAAAAGAAAAATAACAGAACAATAGTTTTATTAGACGTTGTAAAAACTCTTTCCGGTGGTCGAACATCGACAGATGTATACAAAAATAGCGTCAATAAATTAGAAAATGACGCGCACAAAAATTGTAACTAATTTATTTTTAACACCTTAGTCCGGTAATGCTGGAAGCGTAAAAATCAAACAAAATGCTTGACGACGGTATCGAATATTAGGTGTTCACTGTTCAACGTTACGGTTGACTTGTTCATAGTATTTCGCATCACCAACATTATGATAATACATAAAATCTAGTTTAAATATAAATAAAACTAGCAAATTACATCTCATCATTGATTTATGACTATAGTTTTGGCCTAATTCCATTTTAAAATCACACCGTGACCTATGAATTCATTTGAAAGTAAATATTTTTGAGTATTGCGAATTTCGATAACATATTATTAAAATAAATATTCGGAAGCGAATGTAACAAAACGAACACGAAACCGAATATTGAAAGTGTCGAGGGACACAGATAAGACACGCGTGTCGCTCCCTCGCCGCCACTTAGGCCACACGTAATCTGAACACCAAAGCTCACTCCGATAAACTGCCATTAAAAAGCGTTCGATTTATTACACAACGATTTCCGAACGATTTATATGGCCATGCAAAGTGCAGCCTATCGAATACTTACTTATTTGAGGTGATATAGCCAATCGTTTATTTAAGGATTCACTGTAGGTATATTCGCGCACTGGCTGTGTAAATGTGTGTTATAGATAAAAGATTTATTTAATTAGAGAACCTAGCGACATATTTTATCCTAATATTGACGAAGATATAGCAACTTTGTTTATATATTTTTTTTGTCACTTTACATATTACTTAACAGTGCTACTTCGATTTCATCAATGTTTGTATTTACAGAATGTGCAAGTCGATTCCATTTTTACTCCGTGTTTTTTCCAACCCTACCCCAGTGAAACTAACACCACTAGTTCTGCTTACTCTTATATTTGCGTCGCAATATTCATCACTCTCTATCCACGTCACTGATCAAATACCATATACAAAGAAGTCCCCAATAGTTCCTACCCTTGATAGATAGCTGCGTTACATGTATACATACACCATAAATCCGTACTATAAATGGATGTGTATGTTTTATATCGTAATCTTAACTATCAACTTATGTTTAAGCTATTAAACGTACAGTCCTTTACACTATGAATAGACCGGGTCTCTGTTATTATATTTGGATCTTGACTTAGTGGACCTGTTCGCACTCACTACCAATTACTGACACTGAATCATAACATTCACGTCTTGTAAACATCCTCTCCAAACGGCTTAAAAATGAAAAGACCAAATACGACTCGCTGACAGGCTATCGAGGGCTAATAGTCATAATCTGTTTATATATTGTTTTTGTTCCAGGCGTACGATTATTTACACGGCACTACCCGTATGGGAATGTTTACGTATTAACTTATACTCTTTCAGAAAGCGTTGTCCTAAAATTAGTATATACATTTATTTAAAATGAATACATTAAATTTTGTTACTAAAAAATATTACTCATATTTAATTTCAATGATAACTATAATTATTATTATTATTCCAAGGACCTTCCATAATCAAACATGATTTTATGAATTGTAACTCTTAGAGAGATAGCTAGACGTTTCCTTCTCATAATCTTTGGCCGTGTGTTATAAAACAACGAGCGTCTGTTTTAAAAATGGCTCAGGATTCGGAAGACAAGGTAAAACAAACGTAATGTTATACTAGTAACAGTACGCAATCTTATCTACGGTAAACTAAAGAGCAGTAGCAGTTTGTCTTGGGTTCACAACAAACATGATAAATGATTTCGGTTATAAAAAAAAAACGTTGTCCTATTTTATAAACGAGTTCCGGTTGGAGGAAGACGGGTTCTTTCCTTGATTAAGTTATAATACCTATTCACCTTGAGAAGTACCTGGAGAAGAAGAAACCAACATTATTGATTTTTTATTTTTTTTCTCTCTACTTAATATCATCTAATATTAAATTAACGATCAAAACTCAAACTGCCATAATAAAAAACAGACTTAACGTCATTAAAAACAATGTTATAATAAAACAGCAAAAAAAATATTTTAATTGTAGCCAAAAATTAGAGGGTACATCGACAGTAACAATAAAAAATGAAAGCAAAACCACATTTAAGCGTGTCGTAAAAATAAAAATTAAATAAAAAATGCTTAGGGTGGTAAAGTTTTTGGGAGCGTAATTTTGCTTTACAATTATTTGGTGTTCAGATGGAGCGCAACGCTCTCTTAATGTTACCTGTCCCTAGGCTATTAACCTAAACCAAAGAGCAATCAAATATAAATTATGCAAAATATTGCAAATTATTTCTTCCATGGTTATTTTCCTGCATCTGATAATATTTTTTAAATGGAAATTGCAATCATCGGAAAATATATGATATAAAAATCTTGTCAAAACATTTTATGTTTAGAAACGTAATGGTTCAATATAAACAAGAAGTTCCTTAGCAATCGTTTGTATAAAGAAATCATAAGTTAATAAAGCAAGTCACCACAGCGTCAGGTAGCCGGTGCGTTTCAATTTCTTGAGGCATTTAATTTACAAAACTAATTATGTTTGTTGATGGGATATTACCACTCAGTACTCCATGATTCGATGACAGTTAATAAAGACATTCCGAATGAATTTAGATCAGATCGTTTTATCTCTATTTCGTAATGAAATGTATTACGTTCTATTGTGTTCTACTCTTTGACGAGGGCCGTTAAAATCT